TCAAATTCTGAACTAACATAGGATAGAGTATTCCCTTTTTATATCCTTTTAGGTCTTTGTATAAGTTATTTTTGCATCAGCTTGTAACCTTGAGTATATATCATATCTAGCAAACACCTGTCATATATATACAGACAACTTGAAACCTTGAGTATATATCATATTTATACAGACACCTGTAACCTTGACTACATATCTATATAGACACCTGGCATCCAGTATCAGCATATCAGTTCCTTATGTTAGATGGCGAGCTTGCAAGGTCAAACAATTAAGTTTATCTTTTCTATTATTCAAGCTCAAAAACAATGTTATTTCACATTCTAAAAATAACAGAGGGACTAGCAAAAATATAGCAGAGAATTTCAAAACAATAGAGAATTCCAAAACATCAGTTTCAAATAGCAGTTTTCCCAAAGGAGGGATTACTATTATGCTTCAAAAGGAATATGAGCGTCCTGTCAAATCCTGAGCTGCTGTCATTTAATGTAACAGGAATTTTTGAAAACATGTTATGTGGTAGATATGCAATTCTAATCATGTTCATAAACTTTTACATCACAATCCTGTCTTTCCCCAATAATCTGAAATACAGAGGTATATTATTTCATCTGGTTCTTAGACTATGCATTTGTCTCATTTCTAGGAAAATACAGACCTTCTACTCAGTATTTTTGCCCAGATGGTTGGATTGGTTTTCAAAAGAATTGCTATTATTTCTCTAAACAAGAAGGGGATTGGAATTCAAGTAGACACAACTGTTCTACTCAACATGCTGACCTAACTGTGATAGACTCTAGAGAAGAAATGGTAAGTAACCTAATACATATAACTTATGAATTTTTTTGTGTGTAAGGGCATTGGAAAATTCAAATTCCATTATGATTTTTAAAACTTTTTACACATGCCTATTTTTGTATATGGAATATTGAAGATGTTCATAGCAGGCCATGGAAGATACCTGATGATATTTTGTTTGGATAGTGTAACACATCAAGTTAGTAGACTTGGTAGTTATCTTTATATTTTAAGGAGTATAAATAGAAGAGTTTGATAATATTTGGAGAACTTTTAGTCCACAAACAGAGAACTGCTTCATGGTGGATGGGATTCTTTATTCCACCTTCCTCTGACTACTCACTATTGCTTTGCTGTCTGCCTCTGAGGTCCCATGGCAGCGTCCATCACAGCACTCACTACTGGTAATGCAATAGGTGTGTAATCGAAAGTTTCCCCCTAGACCAGAGGATGAGCTTCCCGTAAATAAATATTATGCTTTATTTGAAATTATATCTTTTGCTGTAGCATAAAGACAGATACAAATAAAAGTTTAATGAATATTTTTGAATAAATATTATTTTCCATGACAAATTTTTTAAAAATTTATCTTTATTGTTTAAAGTATTACAAATATCCCCTGTGTTTCTCTTTCTCCTCCCCATTGACCCCCTCCACCATGAACCTGCCCCTCCCAGGCCTTCATCACTCTATATTCTGTGTCCATGGGTTATGAATTTATGCATATAAATTCCCCAGTTAATCACTCCCCTCCCATCCTCCTCCCTGCCTTCCCTCTGACAATTTTTTCTTTTTTTTAGTAAAGAGAATCTCTAAGAATAAGAGATTGAGAAACTCTGTAACTCTGCACTTGTGAAATCTGTTATTTCCCTAAATCAAGTTTACAGTAAACATATGGTTTTGCTTTTGTCTAATCTCTTTAAAAGGGTCAATATAAGGAATAATGTAATTTGGTTTAAATATTTTTGTGAATAATGTACAATTAAGAAGTGTTTAAAATGTAAAGAGTACAGCACAACAGTCAACATTGTTAGAATTGTATGTTATTTATGTGGTGAACAGTCTATTTATATAATCTGCCTGATGATTGGTACAAATTTAAATGAATGTGAACCAGGCTGGAACAATTTACAGATCAGTGCAAGGAAACTAAACTATTTTGGAAGCAAGAAAAGATATGGAAATCTGAATAAAATGTGAAAAACTAGATATGTTAAGAGCAGACACAGAAAATAAAATATGCTTAAATGAAAGAGCTTCTATAAATATTCTCACTCATGAATTTTGCAAGACTTTTATAATGAACATTCTGAGAACTATTTGTACTGCCTTTTACAGTTCTTCTTAAGGAAAAAGAGACTAAATTACCAGCAAAATGGAAAAATAATGAATGTTAATAAAATTCTTGAGGGATAAAGAAAGAATAAGGCATACTGTTTAAACTCTTACAGGAATCATGTTGGCAAAGACTGAAAAATAGTGAATATTATGGAACACCAAGAACAGAAGTACACAACAATAGTTTTGAGCTTAAGGGAAATCATTAAACATAGCAAATAAGAATGATTGTACTATTTGGATAAAAAAAAACTGATCATAAAATATCCTGATATATTTTGAAGATTGTTGATGCCTGTTATATACTACATTTTCTGAGCAAAATATAAGTGACCAACAGAATGAGGTAAACCTGTCTGTGAAGGAGTGATAAAAGTAACATATACAATAATTTTGATATTTTTATTGATTTTAGAGAGAGAGGAAGGGAGAGGGAGAGAGAGAAACATTGATAAATGCCGCAGTCTTTTCACAGCAAGGGTTCAGGAATCTGGAGAAGGGGCTGCAAATGAATGGATAAATAGACAAGAAATTTAAATTTGGAAGGCATTTTGGGGAGCCAGGGGAATCTTAGCTCTAGTGACTAAGCTCTCCGAATCTCCGGACCCATGACTTTTTATTAACACACTAGTGGCCTGGTGCACGAAATTCGTGCACAAGGGTGGGGAGTTGTCCCTCATCCCAGCCTGCACTCTCTTCAATCTGGGACCCCTTGGAGGATGTCCGACTGCCAGATATCCACAGGGATCAAGCCTAAACCGTCAGTCAAACATTCTTCTCGCAATCCGGGACCACTGGCTCCTAACTGCTCACCTGCCTGCCAGCCTGATCGCCCCTAACCACTCTGCCTGCCAGCCTGCACACCCCCAACTGCCCTCAGCCAGCTTCATTACCCCCAAGTGGCCCCCCTTGCTGGCTTGATCGCCACCCCCTGCTGGCCTGCTTGACCCCCAATTGACCCCCTGCCAGCCTGCTCACCTCCAACTACCCCCCTGCCAGCCTGCTTGCTTCCCCCAACTTCCCCCCCACTGGCCTGATCACCCCCAACTGCCCTCCCCTCCTGGCCTGATCGCCTCTAACTGCCTCGGCCGCGCCATTAGTTTTGTTTGGAAGGACGACTGGAAGGTTTCCCAGTCTAATTAGCATATTACCCTTTTATTAATATAGATTTTGCCCTTTAGCAAAGCAGATACACATATCAAAGGTAAAGTCTAGTAAGCAATAATGGATTATCAGGTTAGGGGAAATTCCTTCAGCAGCAGGTAAACAGGAAAAGATTATCAGTTTGGGGGAAATGCCTGCAGCTGTTCAGCAGTAGGTATTAATATATGTATATTTCAGCCCTGATGAAGTCCCAAGATCCATCAGCCTTCTGATGAACTTCTTGCATAATTATGACCTGCTGGAATTTGCTTCCAGCAGATAAAACATCACATTGATCAGCTGTCTCTTACACGCCCCCTGCTAGGGATAGAGCCTGCAACCCCAGCATGCACCCTGACTGAAAATCTAGCCTGTAACCTTGGGCGCATGGGATGACCCTTAACCAGCTGAGCCACATCAGCCAGGGCAATGTATTCAAGAATTTTAAGATTTTATGTAAAATAATTTAAAATATTATATATATATATATATACAAAATATGTATAAGTTAAAATGAGATAAAACTTGTTTCATGAAATATTTTTTGTTTATTTTTATCTACTTAAAATTATCTTGCATTTTTAACAATAAGCTATATGGGATAAGTTAAAATGAGATAAAACTTGTTTCATGAAATATTTTTTTGTTTATTTTTATCTACTTAAAATTATCTTGCATTTTTAACAATAAGCTATATGGGCACCCCTGTGTTAAACAATTAACGATTAATATTTTTTCATTGGACAGGTTCTAGAAAATGCACCTCCCAGTTGCCTGTCACCAAGACCACAGCTACTTGAACATCACCCAATTTTCCCATTATTCAATAATTTATATAGACACATACAGGATGGGCAAAAATAGATTTACAGTTGCAAGTACACAAAACAGATTATTTTTGCATTACTGTTTATTAATCATTGTATTATTTTTCATATGAATATATAGGCATAGGCATAGGCATAGATCTCCCCTGCTGGTTTCCAATATGTTTATCCTTACATATTTTTTCTGCCTTCAGACAAGCTCTTGGCTAAGTCTAGACTATGAATGTCTTTTTCTCCCTCACCCTCTATATGTATCATGAAATCTTCTCTTCCAGCTTTACCTCTTAAAGCACATTCTATGTGAAAGCCTCCCATAAAAACCAGATACTTCTTTTTTGTAAACTTTAATTTTAATTTGTGTTTATTATATTCATTATCTCCCCCTTAATTAGTAGGATATTTTCTAACTCTATATTTACATAATTTTTTTCTCACTAAATTAAACCCTTTCAATCCAGGGGGAATATTTTATTAATCTGTTTCTTTGTAATCCCAAAGTTTAGCTCAATGAAATGAACTTTTTAAAAACAAATTTATAAAATGCTGCAGAGGATGGCATATTAAAATGACAAAAGCTACTGTGTCACTGCTACTAGTATTAGATAGAAATGGACCATGAGTATTGTGAGTTTTCATGATTCCTTTATATTTATCAACAACTGGAAACATGGAGTTATATAACGTAAAGCTGAAGGTTTCCCAAGTATGTACTCAGTAGCAGAGAAGACTCCATGACTTGAAAATGAGCTCAATTGTAACATTGCAGGAATGAGAAGGAGAAAAGAAGAAATATCAGGAAAAATTATAATTTCCCTGAATGATACCTTTAAAAATTAGAATATCTGCAAAAAATACAATCTGATAACTAGATTTTAAAAGAACTAGTTATCTGAGGGGCATGTGTGTGTGTGTGTGTGAGAGAGAGAGAGAGAGAGTGAGAGAGAGAGGGAGGGAGAGAGAGAGAATGATTTGGGGAGAGAAGTTGAAGTAAAATACAACATGGAACTCAATATACTAGTAATTGCTAGGAACAGGAAAACCATTATAGTAAATATGTGATGATTAAAATGAGCTTCATAACAAACTGGATTTCCATAGATTTTTTTGTTTACAAATACTGGAGGAATAGATTTTCATATTGAAAAATTATTAATTTGGAATCAGAAAGTATCTGAAAGAAAATGTTTCTCACATCTTTGTTTCATAAATAAGAAAACTGAGGGTCAGAGAGTAAAATATTTTTTATTTTCTGGTATAGCTTGGTGTTTAACATTTGTCACCTTGCTCCTCACAATAGGCTGTATTAAAAACTGAGAAGTAAAATTATGAAATTGATTTTGTCTCTAAAGGATTTTTTAAGACAACACAGATGTATTTTTGATCTCTGGATTGGGTTGGAGATGACAGAAAATCAAACAGGAACTTGGCTAAATGGAGGAATATTTAACAAATGGTGAGTTTCTTTCTTTTTCAGATTATTTAAATTCAGACATGGGTTAGCTACATTTCTCTAGAGCCCAAGAATTTGAGCACATATTAAAAAGATGAAATGAAAAGATTGTATCATGTATTGAGATTAACTCCAGGAGTCACCCAGAGAGGCTGGGAATCAAGACATAAGGGGAATCCTCAGCCTGTTGCATGGGGAAGACATGGGGCAAGGGGAGGAAAGGGGACATACTTTAAACAGCAAAGATAAATTTAAAAAAGAGAACCTGGATCATAGCAATTAATAAATATTCACTGTTGTTAATTTGCTTTAAAATATATATATAAGGGGAAGATCGTGTACTTGGTTATTTTGAAAATAAAGGCCTAAAATTCACAAACACAGTCCAAAAGAATTTAAACTTGTGCCTGATTCTAAATTATCTTTTCCAATTCTACATCTATTTCTCAAGCTTTGTGCTACCTGTTTGCTGACATATTTTACAGTTCATGGTCCATCTGTTGTTTATTTTAACCTGATTTTATTTGCATTAATAACATAATTAATTTTATTTGCATTAATAACATAATTTATCCTGAGCTTTGTGTCTTCCATTTTACAATAAGAAAAATTGGATTGAAAGACCTGAACTCACTGCACACACGATCTCGGTGTAACCAACCCAAATGATGACAGCCAGCCACTTCACCACTTTAGTTTTTAGCCAAGGTTCTCAGTAGCAACGCAACTGACACATTGGACTGAATAATTCTTTGTTGTGAGTAGGGGGGCACTTTCTTGTGCGTTGTAGGACGTTAGCAGCCTCTCTGATTTTTCCCCACTCCATTTGTGACAACCAAAAGTGTCTCCAGTTATTGCCAAGTGTCCCTTGTGGAGGGTTGGGGCGGGGGGGAGGCAAAATTGCCCCATGTTAGAACCATTGGTTTATATGAACTGGTAGTTCCCCTGATTACATATAATTCACTTAGTGTAATTTAATAAATATAAATGCTTGAAAGGCAGACTCTGATGGTCCAGTTTGGTGCAGATATCTTAACCCTAGCAAGAGAGTACTACTGGTATATCACAGGATTCGGGGCAGATATTTTTTTTAAAGATGTTATTGGACAAGGGAGAAATTATAGGACTCTCTAGTACATAGTGTTTAATGTACTCTCTCTATTATAGGTTTGATGTGAGAGGAAATGAAAAATGTGCTTACCTCAGTGATGATGGTGTAGCAACAGCCAGATGCTACACAGAAAGAAAATGGATTTGCAGGAAAAAAAAAAGTACTACATAAACATTTCTGATTATTATTTATAACCACAGGTAATAAAGTTTTAATATCTTTTTTCTTTCCCTCCTTATAACTTCACTTTTGTTAAATTTCTTCAACTTACTTTTTAACTTTTCATATGTCAGGGATCTTTGCTTTTCTATATCAATTTTAGAAGAATCTTGTAATTTTACAGAATCTATAGGTCAGTGTTGGCAGTATTATATTTATAAAATTATCTTCTTATTAATTTATATGTATCTTTTTTTGTTAATCCTCACCCAAGGGCATTTTTCCATTGATTTTTAGAGAGTGGAAGGGAGGGAGGAAGGGCGTCAGAGAGAGACAGAGAGAGAGAGAAAGAGAGAGAGAGAGAAACATCAATGTGAGAGACACACCAATTGGTTGATCCTGAAGTGAACCCACAACCCAGGTACATGCACTTGACAGGGAGTCGAACCCAAGACCCTTCGGTGCACAAGCCAGCACTCTAACCATTAAGCTACACCAGCCAGGGCTGCTTCCCAGTGTTTTAATACACAAGGTATTAAAAACATGTTAAGCAAAAATAGTAAGATAAAGAATTACTAGCTTTACTTAATAAATCAGAGATATAGAATTTAGAGATTTATTCTGGCCCAAGAAAGTCTAAGATTATTCAGCTAGTTAGCTCTCTTTGGATGCTAAACTTCCAAACATTATCTTGGTATGCATTCTACTTCCTGTGACTCATTACAGCATCCTATCTGCCAAAATTTTAATCCACATGATTTTAAATTAATAAAGCATAAAGGGTAACTACTTCCTACAGGACAAAAAAA